AGATGAAATTGTTAATTTTATTTAAAAGTTATTATAATTTTGAATAAGCAATTTAATTTAAAATATTATAAACCATAGGGTTAATTGATAGTTCTTAATAAAATTATAATCAATTGTATGATTCAAACTGATAGTTAAACCAGTGATTTAAGTAAAATTACTAATTTTCTATCAAAATAATTATATTTTTATATAAGTAACTTATTTTTAAACTTTACGCTAATTAATTTTTGATTAAGAAATCAAAAAGAAATAATTAAGTCAATTATTAGTAATTTTAATCAGGTAAGTAAACTGATAACATCTCTAATATAATAAGAATATACTGTGATTGCAAAGCTAATAATATTTTATAAAAATGACACACCACTAAGCTAAAATGCAATAATTCCTGCAAATTTACAATTGAGACAACAAACAATTTTTTCTTGAATCACTTCTTATGGATCAAACTGCCAAAGAAATATCTGCTGAAGATGAAATTACTCGATACATTGCAACTCTGACTCAGATCCGTTAAATTGAGGTTCTAGTGTACTCTTGGAACATACATTTTCTATGACAGCAAATACGATAACTAAAATTCGATGCAACGTAAAACCAGATACAGCACGTGTTATAATGCGTTTAAAAAGTTAATACGTGACAAAAATATAAATTAATAGATATTGAAGTTTCTATTTTTTTAGAATCATAAAAAAAATTTATCTTCTTTATTTTTGAAATACAAGTATATTAATAAAGTATTTTAGCAGTATTGGAGCAAACCTGACACAATGAACCCAGAGTGGGTTCAATTTGATTGACCCCTTGCTCCATTATAATATGAATTAAATTCATTCCGATCCGCGCCATTAACAGTTCTACGTAATAAGATCGTGAAACAAATGTTTACGACCATTTTAAAGTTGATAAATCAAATTTCTATTGCTATTTTAATTTAGAAACTGATTTTTGTAGTTCCATATATAAAAGCATATTTATACACACCACTACAGTATATTACCGGAAATTCAAAATGAATTTGTCATTTGTAACCCGATATCTCGACATCCAGTGATCCCATTCGAACAAAAATATAACCATTAGATTTGTATAGTCGAGACGAATCTAATGATAATATTTTTGTTCGAATGGGATACTGGATGTCGAGATGTCGGGTTACAAATGACAAATTCATTTATGAAATTTCCGGTAATATACTGTAGTGGTGTGTATAAATTAATTATATAGCAATTTAGAAATAAAATGCTTTTTCTCTAGGGATAAAACAAACGTTATAAGGTTTCATTCATTATGCGATTCCAAAAGACACAAAGATCTTAAATCAATCTTCTCCGGTTTTGCACGAGGACGTTCGATTCTAAAAGCCCAGAAATAGAAGCAGCGAATAATTCGAGTTCTGCTTCGGCCTAATCAAAAAAAATTTCAAACCAAAATTCAAATTTTGAATTTAATAAAAGTACTTTTGCTAGAAATGATTCTATAAATAATGTACCAGACGAATGCCAAGACAAAGCCTTAGCCCCTGGTTCCAAAAGCAAATTGATCATGATTTTCAACACAGCCTTGTGCTAATGCAACCGCACTTTCTTTCACGCCCAAATACCGCTCCGGGTTCCAATTAACGCGTACATGTCCATTGCGACTAAACTATTTTTAGGGATACGATAGCCCATGTATTCATCGTCGTCTTCGATTACGTGAGGATTCCCATTACCAACTATCACGATAATAATTAAATAATAATTAGAAATTAATTAAATTTGATATATATAGACTTTTGTTTTAATGAACCCTTCGCTAAACTTCTTTCACCTTTGCACAAATGTATGGAAGTAATGTACGTCATTATATGTTGGCCGAGAATTTCTTACTACACGATCAAGCTCGAGTTTGAGTTTCGACATCATTAACCACAGATTCCCATCCATTTGCTGTATCGTTAGCACCACCGATTATTCACAATGATTCGAAAGCATCAAAAGTCTTGCTTTTGTGCCTGTATACCTAGTCAAAGATATTCGAGAAATTTGTTGTACAATCGATTTCCCTTTTATAATGCAATTGGTCATGTGGGAAAAATATATCAGTGAATCTTTTTAATCTTATTGTTATTTACTTCACGGAATAGAAAACTTTTTTTTAGACGGATATTTTTTGCCTCCTATTCGATTTTTATTTAGCAAAATTAATTACTTTTCAACCGGAATTCAGTGTCAATAGAGAGAAACCGGAGGATTGAATAAAAAATACTTTTTTGAAATAGTTCATAGATGTGTTTCTGGTTGTTCAAAATGATTATAGAAGATTTCCCAACACTTAGCATGAAGATATCGCCAAGAGTTTTTTGCCATTCTAAGCATTTTTTATCAAACATAGTAGATATTAGAAAGAAAGAATAAAAATAAAGCTTATTTGTAGAAGAAAACACTTTTGATTAAGTCCAATAACGCGTGTCCTAAATTTTATAGAAAATTTAAAACAATTATGATGGTTGTATCGAATCTCTTTTAAGCAATATACAATAAGTGGCATTTTTCCCGGTGGTTCAGGAAGCGATATCAATCCATTCAGACAGTTTTTTGAGTTGATAATTTCATCAAGTAAAAAACAAGAGCAACACGGCTATTACAATATCGATATAGAAAATCATTTTTATTAAGCTACATATCGTGCTATACTAGCTACATTAAAAAGCACTGTATGATCGAGCAAAGAAATGTGGTATAATCGGAAACTCACAAAGTTTATACTATACTGTATATCCTGAACCAATAGCGTAAACCTTATCCATACCAAATACATGTACAGTTAACCTCACCTATAGGTTACCTAGTGCTCCTTTAAAAAAATGTGCTTATAAAAAAAAATACCTCTCTATAAGTACAATCTCTTTATAAGTTTATTAATAAATGGTTTCAACGTTGGTGTGCTTATAGAGAGGTTTTTATATGATGTGCTTATAAGGGAGGTGACTACATGTACGTATAATGATATGGGAGGTTGACACTAGCTCGACATATCATACTCGATAGTGTAACACCGCTAGTCTGTTTATGGACACAGAAAAATGTCATGCACTTAAATTAATGATCTCTAAAAGGCAATATAATTACTCATTCGTGACTTAAAAATAGTATACAGTTTTCATATAATCGATGGAAAAGATAGTTTTTGTGGATAATGATCCACAAAACGAAGAAAGAAGAGAAGCTTCTCGAAAATTGTTAATCAATCATTTAGTAGACTGTCGGGATATTTATTGGCCAAGAAATCTGGAAAGTGAAAATAAGAAATAAAATAAATATGAATGTGATTGAGTAAATATGATGGATAAGAATTAAAAATGTTCTTGTTGGTGATAAAATATAAGATGTACCAATAGTAAAATGATTAATTTTCGAGTGAAAAATACAAGAGAAAATAAAGATGAAAATAAAAGTGAAAATAAAGTGAAAGTATACAAGAATGTTATTTGTTGATTATCATTTTAATTTTTCAATAATACAAAGTGAAAATAAAAGGGAAAATTATTTGATTAAATTATGGTTCACTATAATTTATGATGATTTAAAAATTAAGAAATTACGAAATTTTTGTCGAAATGGTAACAGTATTCGCAGTTTCTCTGTGGATTCTTCTCAGCCCACTGATATTCGTAGCTGGGTTTTTAGTATTAAATACAAGGTTCTAAGTGCAGTCTGAATATTTTTGAAAAGCTTGATTATATTTAAAACAAAAAAGCAACCTTTTACGTTTTAGAAAAGGTTCGTCTATAAACTCCAATGTGATTTGCTTCTAATTATGTAATGATTTCAACACAATCTCTTTGTCATGATTTGTTTTTTCATGATCTCACTTGTATACGTAACCTATAATTTTTTAGTGTTTATCAGTAATTTCTGCGCATTCTTTTATTAGACAGGTGATATCATTTATTCTCGCTAGATCATTCAACTTTTTTTTTGACATATTGCAGTAATGTTAATCGAATTTTGCTTTAAAATAAATAAACAAATGTGTCGTTATATTAATAAACATAGCAATTAGACAAATAAACTATAGTATAAAAGATCCCAAGTAAACTAACTTTAATATAAATAAATAAATTCTGATAAAGTAAAAACTGCTTTTTGTTGTTGTGCTTTAACTCGAGACACATTTAATAAAATTTAATAAAGTTTAAAGTATATCGATATTGTTATACTTTGCTGAAAGTGTTTCATCATGAGTCTGTAGTTTTTCCTGCAAGTCAACCGATGTTTTTTCATTCTCTTTGATTTCATGTGGTATACTAAAATCGAAATCTGGTTTGCATCACAAAAAAAATAGTAACGAATTAATTATGTTAATAAAAAACAATATTAAATATAAGTTTACCTTCGTTTGGAACAAACAAACAAACAAACAAACTGACAATTGACATTTTTATTACTGTAAAATGTTAATATGATTTATATTTCAAATAAAAGTACCTGTCTCAGTTGGAATTGAAATTAGTTTAATTAGTTTTCTGATAAATACTCGACTGGTGTAACCTGCATTGGAATGGATTGTTGTTCGTATTCGTAGGAATGCTCTTTTTAATTCATCTCTTTATCAAGTTCTTTCAATTTCTGCCATTCCAGTTTAAGACACTCTCTAATTTCTTCATGTGTTTTTTAGGAAATTCTAAAGAGCTGTAGTACTAAAAATACAAAGTATTCATCTTTGTCGCATATCCATATTTAATAGTCGATAAAGTAAAAAAGTTCCATAGCAGTTAGTCTGTTTTCTGGAATAGGATCCAACATGTTTCAATAATAAACTTGAATAATATAGGAACATTATTTGGTATCATAGGTCGTTCTCCATTATAGATGTTTAATACGAGATGCATGTCATGACTTCGTTCACTAAATGGTCGTTCACCTGTGGCAACCTCGTACGCACTCATTCCCAACCTATAAATATCTGCAGCTTTAGTATATGGTTCTCCATTTAGTACCTCTGGACTCATATAAGGAAGTACTCCGCAAATTTTTGAACAGATTTTTCTACATCTACTGGTTTGGTAAGTCCAAAATCAGCAATGCAAGCAGCTTCAAGCTGTATTAATATATTTCCAGGGTGAAAGTCACTATGCATAAATTCCTCAATTGTGAATCTTATTCAACCCTCGAGTAATACTAATTACATAATCTAATTTATTGTTCCAATTCAATTTTTGGTGGTTAGAATTCATATTCATATATTTGCGTAGATCTCCATCTTTTGCAAAATCTATCACTATCGAGTATTCATTTGTAGCTGGGTTTTTAGTTATTCTATAATAATTTAGCTTACCCCACCTGCACTTTAGGGCAGTCTGAACCTAATTTTGAAAAAAGTTAATTATATTGAAAAACAAAAAAGTAATGTTTACACTTAAAGGTGTTTATTTTACCTCGTTTATAAACTCAGATGTAATTTGCTTTGAATTGTGTAATGATTTCAATACAACTTTACGTTTTCCCCGTTGTTTAAATTTATTTTCTTCATGATTCCACCGGCCAATTGGTCCGTTCAACCAGGTTGCTTTATAAATTGATCCAAAGCCTCCTTTTGCAAGATACTCAACATTGGTAAATCTTTCAAAAGGGATCCATTCGAAAGATTTATGTGTATTTTTTTTCACCAGCAATTCTGTCGCATTCATTTGTTAGACTGTCGATATCTTTATTTCCACTAGACCATCTAACATACATTCGTTTGTGATATCGAGAACATCCATAACAGTACTTATTTTCTTGACATTTGGTACATTTACTACAATCATGAGTATTGTGAACTAAACACTCGTCACAATAACCCAATTGTTTACAATCGTAACAGTTATTACTACAGTCATGCTTATTGTGAACTGGACACGCTTTGCAGTAGCGATTGTCTTGACAATGCCAGAGTATTCGAAGTATTCGAAGTATTAGATCCCATCTTTGAGTGATCATTATCGTTTTATTTATGATTTATTTACGTTATACGTATCGGTTCATTTCATTTGTGTTTGTATCACTTTATGCATGAAAAATGTACGTCCACAATATGCATTAACGTTAAATGATGAAATGAAAGAAGAGTAAACACACGAACGTCCACAACATGGATTAAACGATGAGATAGAACGCATAAAAAAGTTATTATAATTTATATTGTTGCGTGTAAATAATAAAAAATTTTTTTAATATAGTAAATGCATGTTGTAGGCGTAATATGTAGCCACGGCAAAGTGTCAGTCACGTGATGATACAACCAATAAACCAATAGGAATGTAGCAAATTTTGATCAACCCGGCAAATCAAATCCTATCCAAGAAAATAAAATGCGAAAAATACGAAAAACAAATATCTAAATCTAGCTTGGCAAACTATCAAAAAATGTTGGGAAGACAATTTTATATATAGTCTTGTGCTCAGCTCTAACCCTAACTCTAATACTTGATATCTAATATTAATCGGATATTTTATGGACTTATTTCAGATCACGTGACCGACATTTTTTTGCCGTGGCTAGGGTATTAAATAACATCAATATAAATTGAAGATATAGCGATAAGAATAATCGTTATTACCATTTATTTTGAGATGCCATCTTTGAATTTATTTTATTAGCGTTAATGATTATGTTTAAAAACGATGATTCCCATAGCAAAAACACACTAATTTAACATTTACCGTTACCCATGAGTTTTTACAAAATGAAATTGTGTTAAAAATTTCTTATCGATCTGATTAAATCTCGCAAAAATCTGTAAATGAATTTTTATAAAAGAAAATAAATATTTAGTCAATTTTAAAAGTACGATACATGTGGCAGAAAGACGAATTATAA